TTTGGATTACTAACAAAAATAAATCTTTTTCTAATAGAGACTTTGTTGGGATCAAGAAATTTAGACCCTGATGAAATGAGACTAAGATTATAAAAAAAAAACTTTATAAATACAGAGGGTGCTAAAAGAATGTATACATACACATTTTAAGAAAGGAAAACTGTATTAATTGTAATACTTAATATATACTGATAACAAAGGATGAATACAAGTCACATTTGACTTCTGCAATTACAAGAGGTGATCCAAGTGGTTACCATCAGCATCCAGACATTTCTGATTACAGTGAACTACTGCTTGAGCAACGCTGACCAAAGTGGCCACTTGTATAAATTTTTTTTGGCACCCCTGTATATAAGATATATATTTGACAAGGAAACTAAAATAGAATAGACTCTAATACTTTGTTCTATCTGAATCTACATGACAATGGCATATGTGCAAGCTAACATAAATAGCATACAGAAAATAATTTAAAAATCTTGCAGAACATATTTGTTCATAAGACCCTCATGAATAAGTAAGAACATTTAAGACATTTGATTCAGATAAGGAAAGCATGGACAAGTTTCAAAATATCAAGTACTGTTTTCATTATAAGTAGTATATTCTAGGAGGCTACAGATAAACAAAAATAAAAAAAAATAAAGAATTCTATTCTATCCTAACCAATCTTCTTGGAAGAAATTCCAGGCGCAGCCTGTAAGGTAAATGGAGTGTGGAAAACCAATTCATAAATTGCAGGCTTGGGAAAGAATAACACTGCTTAGAAAATGAAAGTCGATCAAGATTGGAAACATTTCACCTGTTTTCATTTAAATCTTCAGTCTTATTTCCTGCTGGTTTAAGAAACAGAATACGGAATAATGGGGCAGTAGGGAGTATGAACTCTAAATATTTCAAAATGGTCACATTGATAAGCTCAATGTAATTTTCTGTAGCTAAAAAATAAAAACCAGGCATGTGGATAACCTCCTAGTTAAAACATGGTTTATGAAACTTAAAACAATTATTTCTAACCTATTTTTTCCTTCTAATATGTAAGATCCACTTTACTCAATTAAGACAAATGCTTAAAAAAACTATCATGAAATTTAAAAAATGATAAATGACCTGAAATAATACTCGATTAGTCCCTTGCTTTCAATTAAATGTATATCCATCCCATTTTAAAGAAGTAAACATTTACTGCAATGTTAATGACCTGAAAAAGGAAATACTTGTTACTTGCACTTTTCATTCAATCTGTGTCAAAATTCTCCATACTTATAAACACTTTCCCAAAGTGTTCAAGTGAAATCTTTCATGTAAATTCCAAATTGCCTTATCAATAGCCTCTGACAAGCCAATTAATTCTGAGAAGCCAATACAATCAAAGAATAGTCACATTGCTTCAAATTTAAGTGTGAAACAGGTATTAATTAAATATATTCAGTTTTCTAAAAGGAACAACCAACTACTTACTACCAATTCTTTGAAGTCATTAAATTTAAAAGTATCACAGAAAATTTAAATGCTTAAAACTTGAGCAACTTTGATATGTCAATTCTATAGTAACTGAACTATTGGATTAATTCCATACTGATATATAAAATACTAATAGAAAATACCCTCATGAGGTTATCCAAAAGCTTCTTTTGCCAATATTTCAGCTAGAGACTTACTACCACCACCAGAGTACTTATACTAGCTAATGGCTCTAGTGCATTATCTAATTTAATTCTGACACTGATCTTACGACATATAAGAATCCCATTTAAAAAAATTACTGTTCTCATCTCATTTTACAAGTAATAAACATGATAGAGTCACTACTTGAAACCAGGCTTTCACATTCAAGACCCTCTGTTCTTTGCCTATGCAAAGGTGTACAGGTGATTTTTTATAGGATCGATGGGTTGAACTGTACTATTTATACACTGTTACTGGATATGGTTACTTATTTATGACAAAGCTAATCTGAATTCAGTGCATTAATCTGAGACTATAGCTAATAGCCTGGGGACCTGGGCAAGTAATAGGATTAGGAATTCCCAAATCACTTTTGTTTAAATGTTGGAAATACTAAATCTATAATAAGATGGTGTGAACAAAAAAGGAGGTCTGTAACAAGTCTGACCAAAAGTAACCTCACAGGGTGACCTAATAATAAATTCCTAACTGGGCAGGTCATGGTGCATAGTTATGCCGCAGGCATGTAAAAGGTTCATTTTTACCTTAAGCAACCTCCTTCTATTCTTGTCATTTAGGTTAGTGCAGCTTTGAAAGGCCAGAGTAAACCTCTTTTTCAGACCCCTCAGAGGCTTAAACACCCTCAAGAGAACACACAGTCTTGTTAACTACCCTGTAGTTGCTTTTTCCCTCCTTCATGTCATCTTCCTTATGTTCCCTCCTTAATCCCAAATGGAGAAAAGAAACTGCAAAACTGTCATTTTCCAGAGCATTTGAGGTCCTGCTTCCTGGTATGTTGTCAATTTGGCTCAAACAAACTCATAAAAATTCTGTACAGGTTTGTATGTTTCATATGTCTACAATACACTATAATTTTTAAGTTGTATAATCTCAGTTATGGCGCTGAAAATCACAATTGATCTATCACTATGGTTTTAACCTTTTCTCTATCTTTATATGCCTCTGCTTGTGACCTGCTGCCATGATACTAGTGCCCTCATTGTGACAATGAAGTCAAAGTCAAGAAAAAAAATGCCCTCGCTTCCTTCAAAGGCCCATCAAAAGAGGTAGAGGTACACATCATAGCTCTCTAGATGATGTTAAGAGACTTCCTTCCTCCCCCTGAGAGGTATTTTTCCCCATCCCCAATGTTTAAAATCCTTGATATATAGAGAGAAATAGATAATAACATATTGAGTGATTTACCTGAGCCAGATACTCTTCATGGACTCATTCAACCTTCACAACCAATTTATGAATTATAGTAATATTCCTATTTTATACATAAAAAAGTGAGTGAGGCTCAAATAATTCAAGGAACTTAGCCAAGGTTATACATCTAAAAAATAGCAGAGCCTAGTTTTGAATTCAGAAAATCTGATTCCAAAGACAGCACACTTAACCATTACACTATATTGCCTCTCAGTAGTCGGCTGGAATAATTATTTTAAAAAATCATTGAAACAAATGTAAAAATACCTTTCAAAGTGACAGTACATTGACTCATTAAAATCTCAAAGAGGAAGAATTATTTCATGAATATAGGAACAATCTAAAATGTACCTTGTCTTATAAAACTTCACTTTGGGGCTGGGAAGTTTTTTCTCTCTCTCTTTCTCTTCTCTCTCTGTCTCTTCCTCTCATTAATTTTTTTTCATAGTTTTGCCCTCGCTCTAAATGACTACTAACTACTCTTGATTTTGCCCAAATGCCAAAGTGCCACTGTTAAATACCATTTAACTCTACCACATTCTTTCTTTTAGAATCTAATTTATCTATTTACTTCATTAAAAATAACATTATAATAAGATATCACTTATTAGATTGTTTTAGAAACATTTAGGTAAAATGCCATATAAACCTAAAAAGTATGACTAAATTAAATGACATAGATGAATCTCATAAATACAATATTAGGCAAAAGAAGCCAGATTCAAAGAGTACATACAATTATTCAATTTATATAATTTACGTAAAGTGCAAAGATAGGCAAACCGACCTATGGTGCTGGAATTCAGAACAACAGTTACACTTGAAATGGGCACAAGGAGGTGCTGGTTCTGGTACTATTCTGTCTCTTCTTGATCTGACATGGTTACGAAATGTTTTCTTTGGAGAAACGCACTGAGCTTTACAGTTATGTTTTATGTACTGTGACAATATATATGCTATATTTCAATACAATGGTTTACATTAAAAGGCAATACTTCATCCAAAACTCTCATTTTGCTAGTTATAATTTAGCACTACTTTCTCTCTTCCAACAATTACAATTAATTTGTTTCATAAAGAAAGCTAATAAAATGTCTACGGAACACTGTAAAGTTACCATTTTCTTAAATATGAGTTTTAAAAGTCAAATTTACTGGAGTATAACTTATAGATAGTAAAATTCATCCTTTTAAATCTGATGAACTACACTTTTTCACAAGCACACGCATTTGTGTAACCATCACCACTGTCAAGATACAGAATAGTTCTATTATTCCCATACATTTTCCAGGCCTTTTTGTAGTCAACCTCATCCCTCAGCCCCAGCCCTTGGCAACACTGATCAGGTTTCTCTAGCTGTTGTTTTGCCTTTGCAGATGCCATATAAATGGAATCATACAGTATGCATTCATTTAAGTGTAGCTTCTTTAATTTAGCATGATGTATGAGATCCATCTGTGTTTTGTGTGTCAGCAGTTTCTTCCCATCTATTGCTGAGTAGTATTACAATGTGTGGATATACCACAGTTGAACATTAGAGTAATTTCCAGTTTTGTGGTGATTTTGAATAAAGCCACTACAAACATTCACGCATAGGTGTTTGTATGAACATGAGTGATATATTCTGCTTTTCAATTCCAACTTGTGTGTTTACTGGCACAAAATATGTTCTATGTTGCCTTTAATCTATAGTAATTCTGATACTTAGAGCATATACCAACCAGTTCAGAATAATATAAAATCAGAAACTGAATCAAATTAAATAACAAATGTCTTATGAAAATGCAACAAATTTTACAAATTCCTCTCTTAAAAATATTTCTTTTCACAATCATGTACTGAATTAAAAAAGGAAAATGTTCTATTGAAGTTCTAGATTAGTAATTCAAAATTCATTAATTTTCTTTAAATTGTACAAAATTAAAAATAATGTTATTACTAATTTGGATTCTAAAGTCATAATCAGAGGTAGGAAATGTGTCATGAAAAGTGTTATATGCCTCTTCATAACTCCCCAATTTAACATATTATAAATTTCACCCAATTGGTTAGTACTTTTCATCCATGGTAATTGGGAAAGGATTTGAGTGACAAAATGGAAACATGGTAGATGTTACCTAGCATGTTGTGGTAAAGTGGAATGGCCCGTCCAAGGGTAGTAAATGCAGTCATGACTAGTGGGACCGCTACACCTGCAGGCAATTACAGAACAGAAAACATCACTCTCCATTCACAGTGACATGCACACACATGCACCAGTGCTCACACATGGAGCCTTGAGGGAGCGCATGGGGGGCAAGCACACCAAGTACCTATCCATCAGGCCGATGCAGTCTTCAATACTTGAGCCTATGCACCTGCAGAATATCCAAATGTAAAAAATACAAGGAAACAAATTAGTCATTTAAAAAAAATCAATCTGATAAATACCAACTGTGTCAAATTATTAATTGTAGTTATTAGACAATTTTGAAACACCATGAACTTAAAGCCAGTGAGGAGATTATTGTTGGATGGATACACAAGATAAATTGCAAATACCGCCCAAGTGAAGGCAAAGAAGCATATTCATAGGAAAGGAAATCTTACTCAATTTCTATGGATAACTTACAAACACATATAGGTCATTTCTAATACTTTCAATTCATTTGCATCATTCGTGATCATATGTCTTGATAAATAACGTGATACTTCAATGGCTATAATGGGTTTTCTGTACATGGTTTCTTCTAAAAGCTCTTAAGCTTAAGTAAAAAACAAAATCAATAAAAAAGGAAACATGCACTATTGATTATAATATAATAATCTGATGCTTAATACTCACTAAAGATTGATTGTGGCAGAAAGTGAGTTAACATGTTTTAATGCTATTCTCATGGATACTTTACATAATACAATTATTCAATTCCGTGGTTGTGACTGTCTGTAGAAAATACTTATCTTTAAACATGAATTCATTTAAAAAGCAAATTAACTGGTTTCACCATACTGCAGTTTATCTTGACACTGCTTTTTAAAAGAGCAGTGCCATAACTGGAAAACAAAGACAGGTTTTTAAACTGCCATGATATTTAACTCAAACAATAACAAATAAATCTTCTCCAACAAAATGAATAAATGGAGACCCAGATAACAAAAAAAAAAATTCCACTGAGATTAACATTTAAGTGAAATTACATAAACAACAAAATTCTGATGTACAGTCCCTGGAATTTCATTTTGAAGTATTATAGCAATAATATTTCCTCCACCTTTCAGTGTACTTGAATTGTTTTTCTTTCTCTTTTCTCCCATCAAAGACATATAGCTCCAATGTGTTATCAAGATTCCTCCTACAGCTATGATTTATAGAACTGTCTAATTCTGCTGGTAATAAAAATGATTTTTTTCCAAACTCTAATTTCTAAAATGGAAAAGAAGTTGAAGCTGAAATCACTATATAATGAAGAAAAAAGTGTCCTGTATAAGGCCAGAGCGTCCATTGTATCTTTAGATACCTAAACATTGGTGAACAAATATACCTATGCATAATAATAAAAAGGTCATTATTTCCCTGCTTCAAAAGTATCTGTTATAGGGCCGGCCGAGTGGCTCAGTTGGTTAAGAGCTCACTCAAGAGTTTGAGCTCTGAGAACAGCGGTTCGATGCCTGGTCCAAGCTGAGCTGCCGCTAAGCTGCCAATAGGTAGCAGGATGGCTCAGCTAAAAAAAATAAAACATTGATACTAGATGGAAAATTAATGTGGTTTTGTTTTGAGGATTGGTTTTGAGAGGACCAGAAAATTTTAATGTACAGATATATGGGAAATGCAGTGGATAAAAAGTCTTTTAAAAAATAAGCAAATAACTAGGGCACATAGTTTTGTATTGATATCATAATACATTGTCAAAACAATGTCTAAAAATGGAAAATTAACTACTAAAAAAGTTTCCAAATTGTCTTATATGGTTTTCCTCTTATTCTGTTCTGAATAAAATTATTTTTCTAGGTTCTATTATATATTCCTCAAACTGCTGTTTATTATTTTAATATAGTATTGCCATTTTGTAAAATTAATAGTCTATTTTCAAGTGAAAATCTGAAAGCTATGGGTACTTTGTAATCTAAGTTTTAGAATAACCTTTGAAAGATAAAAAACATTTGAAAATGAAATTAAACTTGAGAAGAAAGTTTGAACAATGAAAGATCTTCATTTATTAATTATAATGATGATGATAATAATAATAATAATGAAAACTGTGTTGCATGCCTACTAAGTATTCCTACTATTTCAGGAACTGGAGGGAGAAAGAAGTTCAATTAGACATTTCCTATCCTTAATGAGCTCACAATTTAATGAAGGAGAAGATGAGGCAATAAGGACAGAGACAAGAAGCTAGAGCATGAAACAGAATCTAGAATTTGAAGACTATTTGCTTAGGAACAAATGTAATGGAAAACCACCAGAGGGTTTTAAAGTAGTGAAATTGCTGGCTTTGTGTTTTAATAGATCTTTGCCGTGTTGGGGCTGGTCATCTGGGAGCCAGGTAGATTTCTTTAATACACAGACTGTTTTAGTCTATGCAAGAAGCGACAGACTAAACTAAAAAATAAAAAATAAAAAAAATAAGGTACTTAGGATAGAGGAAAGGGACAGATTGAAGAAATAAGTATAAGGTCTGAAGAGAGAGAGAGAGAGAGTGAGAGAAGTTGATGGCTGATTTGATGATGAAGATTTGATTTGAGGATCAGAAGAGTTAAGAATTACTCATATTTCTAACTTTGAGACTAGTGGAACCATCAGTAAGAGAATTCAACAGGGGGAACAATTTTCCTTGTGTGTATGTTGGAGAAGAAGGGGGTTGATAATTTTAGTTTTGTGCATCTTGAGTTTAGGGCGGTTGTCCTACAATCCAGTAAGAAATGCTCCTCATTAGCTAGAGAGATGAGTCTGTGGTGGGAGAGAGCTACTAGTATAATAATCAGTTTTGAAATCGCATAGAGGAAAAAGCTGAAATCATGTAAGTGGATAAAATGACTGAAGAAAAATGTAAAAAGTGAGAAAAGCAGTAACTGAGACTGAAACACAAGGAAGTCTAATAACTAAGCAATAAATGACCATAAGATGAGCTCATGTATCAGAAGCGTGGGGAAACATAATTAAATATAATCATTTAATTACAGTATCACTTAAAGCCCAATCAGAAAACTTCAGGAAATGGGGTGATCATCAGTGTCAAATACAAAGAAAGGACTAGTAAAATAAAAACCACTGAGAGTATTTTTGCTGTCATAGTCAAAGTTACGAAAATTGAGGTTGTTGTAAATTGAGAAAAAAATTAAAGATAATAGAGGCAAGGGAGGAAAAAAGGGAGATACTGAGGGGGCAGATGTGTGGTCAAGAAAGTTTGCTAAGAGGATTGTGCAGGGCATTTGAGATTTAAAATTATAAGCTGAGGATAAAAGGAAAAATGGAATACAAAGAAGAAGGAGGGTCTGACTGAAGTGGTACCATCATTTCTAAATACAAGCCAATGTGTAATTAAAGATGTACATTCTAGTCTAACTCTTTGTATTCATTTATATAAGCAACTAGTTAACATGTAATTTATATTGATCCAGCAAGATCACAGAATAATGGAAATATTACACTTTTAAAGAGTCAAAATCCCAAAAAAGAGACTGAATAAGGATATAAAATAGCACAACTGAAAACAAAATTTGCATTCTACAATAGAAAATTTACAGATTATAAAGAGAAACTATAATATGTCCATATAACATATTACAAAATATCTAGAATTTCAAATAGTGAGCTGTTTATCATTTGCCAGTATTTACTGAATTATGAGCACCTTGATGGACGTATATAACTAACATAGTTGAGATATATTGACAAAAATCTCCAAATTTTGAAATAAAAATGGAGAAATATTTAAAAATGTCAATTAAACACTACAGACAATAATTCCACAAGCAACCCTTCTTTCCTTCTCTCCATCAATGGTAATTCTTTCATTATGTAAATTTAAAAATATAAAAAGGATTGATAAGAAAGATTAAGGCAAAGAGGAAATTTAATAATATGAAATCACAATTCTAATACTAACAAGAACATTTCATAAAGTTTTTTAAAGATGACTTATGAAAAATAAATATCCTAGTCCATGTCTAAAAACTAAAATTCAGTTGACATTTATCATGGACTCAAGTGGTATTAATGAGAAAACTGTAATCCTTGCTCTTATAAGCATTTAATTACACAGCAAATGTAGCTTACAAGTCACCTTTGAAAATTTCTACCTTGCTGATTTCAAATATGAAAATCATTCCTAAGTTTTAAATTCTTGCTTACCATTTCAAAACGTAGACAAGGATCTCTAACAGAAGGTTATAAATTGTAACAATAAAAATGTACTGAATTCTGACTTTCTAGCGATCATGAGCTGTGTTTTGCCCCATCTGAACTTAGCTATCACTATATCTGATGCAGAGTATATGTTCAACGAGAAAAGTCTGCTAAAATAAAAGTCTTTTAGTCAAGATAAAAAGAGATGTTATTTTTCTTTTCTCTAGGAATGTTAGTGAGACTCTCCTGATAGGTGCTAAATGGATAATTAAATATATATATATATATATATATATATATATATATATATATATATATATATATCTTATTAGAGCCAAATATACTTCATGTACTTTTAGAGTAGTAAAAGTGCTTTTAAGGTATTACACAGGTAATTTTATTTTCAGAGAATCATTAAACAGCATTGACAGTAAGAAGCTTTCTTCTTTAAAAAAAAAAAAAGGGATTTGAGAGACTATTTCCATTAACCTGTCTCTTGAATTACCCAGCTGACATAATATTGGCATATAGAAGAAAAACTGTTTTCCAATTGGAGCTGGCCTGGTGAGCTCACGCTTACTAATAGGTCAGTAATTACAGGTGTTTAGGAATAAAAGCAATCACTTGTCCCATCATCCCCACTGCCCCTGTGATCTGTCTAAGGAGATTCCGTCTCTCCAGGCTCAGCTTGTAAAGAAGGGACTGGCTGCACACAGCACCCGACCACTTCAGTAAAGGGTCTCAGAGCACAGCGCCGTGCGGCAGTGATGTTCAGTGGAGGATTTGGACAACTTGGAATTCCTATGTTCTGTGGTGAGTCTGGGACCACAGAACTTTCATGCAGTGAATGAATCTGGGTGATATGGAGACTGCTAGACAAAGCAGAGCAGCAAGCGAAATAAAAACTAAGGACTAAGGCAGTTATTTTCAGATCCATTTTCCTTGGAAGATGCCAGGGAGGACAATATTCAAATTCTGTCTCACCATCATTCTGTAGCAGTGAATTTAAAAACATCTTTCTATTTACTTGGCGTTCCCAAATGATCTGGTCAGATTTGTTCCCAGTTATACCTGCGCCCTCCCTTTTTCTGGACATCCAACTTTAGTAGCTATGGTAAATGGATCTCTTCATTGTCCCTACTACTCTCCCCTCCCCCCATGATATACATGTTTTCTTTTATTATATAATCATGATTGAAATGGGCTGAAGGGAAGACACACCAGCCACACATCCAGACTCTGAGTCCGTGATCTCACTTTCATTTCCCTAATGGCTCCATTGTAATTAGATTTGCAAAAACAGCGAAAGGCCTCATTTTGAATGGCAACAGCTGTTGACATCAACATTATATTGAATAATTTACTGGTTTAATTTTAGCTGCAAAACAATAAAACCCTCTTGTGGATGATTATTTTAGCAGGCAGCGTTTTCTCTTTCTGTTGCTGACTCTTCTGCTCCAGTGGTGCCCGTTGTTTCTTCATGAAATACTCTTAATCTGCGTGCTCTGAAAAACTCGCAAGGGGAGCAGCAGTTTATTCCTGCTAGCTTCGTTGAAGCACAGTGTCTGTGTGACTCTTTCAGTAACCTCAGCCTAGGTGCTTACGTGTAAAGCCATGAGTTGGCGTCCGCTCTTCCAAGCTGAATTGGAATTGGAATGGCAGAAGACAACTTGACCTTTTGGGGATGTGCCACTTCACATCCTGGAGCTTTTTCAGTGACTCAAGCTGATCTCTTGACCGGCAGGAAATTGTAGCAGCAACTGCAAACTGATGTCCTCTTAGCAGACAATAACGTGGCTTGCTTAACTTCCTCAATCTCCCCTAACATCTAGGCCTTAATCTGGCAGAAAATCTCATTATGGTATCGCATACTTTCCTGCCAGATGTAAAGTACCCAAGATGATTCTCAACAACAAATGTGTGCACATAGGTGTGTAGACACTCACAATGGAGAAGAGATTTTATGAACAGAAGGATAGAGTATGTGAACTGTTCTCAATTCTAACATTATTGACCTTGGAGGAAAGAAAATGAAAAGACCTTACTAAATATATATTTTTGTATTTTTAAGAAATAGTTATTGGGATTTGTTAGCTGAGTGACATATTTCCTTTATAGTTCAGTGTTTTCATCTTTCTGTAATATGTCTGTTATTCAGTTATCAAAGATATATCTCACTTTTATTCATTTTACAAGGCATCCTTTTAAAAAACGGAAAATTGTGTGACCATCTTTGAATTGTCCTACGTGGAACAAAGAAATGCTCAATTATAGGTTAACCTGCTATGAAGTTACACAAAAAGCCCTCGTAATTTTACTAAAACACACACACCATTGGGTTCCCTTTTGTTTTCTGCTGCCACTACTTTTGCCCATGTTTTGTTGAAGGAGTGATCCAAGGCCGTGTTTATCGAAGAGAGAAAACCTTACTTTAAGCTGGTGGTAACAACAAAGAAACAGAAACAGAAAACCTCTGTGAAAGACTTATGAAGCACACATCTCAAATGTGGGAGGACTGTCTTGTCTTTTCTGATAACTTCAATCTGCAGTAAATCTGGAGGAATTTTTTTACACTCCATACAAAGTGTACCTGACACCAGCTTCATGAAGGTGTCAGTATAATAGTTATAGTTAAATGCAAAACGGAAATATTTCAGAGGGTATCAATTTGATTCCTTACACCGTTCTCTTAGAAAGGATTTCTCTTAACACCAACTTATTACATACAAAGATGAATAGAATGTTGCGTGATGACATCATAGATTGTGTAGACTGTGTCAGGGATAAAGGTACATAAACGCCCCTTTTCATTAGTGATGCATACAAGGCTGAGTCCTCGGCCTCAAGGATGCTTACCCTTGTGTGCAGTTCGAATGGCATGGGTGGCACTCCCGGTCCTGATCCGCGTACTTGAAAATGAAACTGTTTGCCCCCTGTAAGCCATCTGGACATTTTTCCACACAGTTTGGGCCATCCTTAAAGTGGGAGCACTTTGTACAGTTGTCAGGTCCCTGAAGTATGAAAAACAAACAAAACAGAGAAAGAAAAATGGGTGCCATTTCCTCTGAAATGTATGCATGTGGCTTAGTTACTGAGACTTCAGTGGGTGGATGGTAATCCTCTAGGGAACTGGAGAACGTTTTCAGTCACACAAATGGGGATGTAGCTATTGTGGCTTTTTGATAAACAAAATTTTCCAAGGACTTTTCCATAACGACATCAGTATTTTTTCTGTCATTTATTCCTAGTGATATTAAAGTGTAATATTTGGTATCAACACATGTTCCCTAGGAACCTGTCATCACAATCACTGGAAATATGAGAGATTTCTTACTAAATAATTAAGGAGGAGAAGGGAATGATAGGAATTTAATAACACTGAATTTCATATAAAATTGAGATGTTAATTCTACTTTGGTTGTGCAATGACTATTTGAACAATAAAATTTTAAAAGTTAATATGGTTGAATTATCAGGAATTAGGCAGCTTAGGCAAATAAAGGTTAATTTCTAGGTACTCTCAAATCAGCTTGTGATAATGCTACAAACCATATCATGCCTGTTTTTAGGGGTTTTACTAAATCTCAAGGCAATACTGAGCACCATATAAAATCACATTCTGATGAGCAAATATTCAAAACTCCATAATAATAAATCAAACATGTATAAAAGAAAATTTAATGCAAAAAATTACCTAAGAATGAAGATAATACAAATATGAGCATGATAAATCTAAATAAAACTCATTTCATATGTTTATGTTGGTAAATATACAATAATGTTCTAATATATAGAATGCTAACAAGCAATAATAATATGTATTAAATATATTAAAATATCTAAATGTCATAACAAAAGTAAAAATTTAAAACTATATTAAACATCTAAGAATTTTACAAAAAAATAATAATTTGAACTTGGTGCAGGGGATAGTAAACATGCAAGAAATAAGTAGGATATCTGTAGATCATTTTGAAAATATTGATCAAAAATGATATTTTTAAAAAGATGCCCAAATTTTCACATATTAGCTCTTTTGAATAATTATATTAACTACTTGAAATTTACTTTTAATTCTCCTTTTTGAATATCATATCATCTTAAGATCCCTCTTCCCTTTGACCACCTCCCTAGAAATTCTTTTCTGGGCCCTTTTCTCCCCCAAATCTGTCGATGTCCACATGAGTGAATTATTATGACAGTTCACATTTAACACAATTTAGATAAATGAGATACAATGAGTATAGAGGGAGATGATTCATTTTATTAGGTTTATAATTACAAACAACATGAACCTAGGAGCCAAGAGCAAGAGAACTTTATACAGAATTATGTATTACGCAAGGAGTGTGGCAATCAGTCCATTCATGGGACTGCATAGCATCTCTCCATAATTTAATCCAAAAGCAGCCAGAAATTTCAAGTTGGTAACATAAGGTATCAGGAAATCAAGAGATTAACATTTTAAAATTTAAATATAGACGTTACTAATGAAGATAGTGGCATAAAAAAGTAAAAGTAATCAGGAAGAGGTTTCTGGGAATCCTGAGACTGTTGAGTTTCAATCAAGCACCTGTCTATTTCATTATTTTCATGTGAGACTTAGAGCTTTAAAAAAAAAATTACCTGTGAAACCTAATCCCTATACAAACTGAAGAGTTAGCTACTGGCAACTTCTTATTTCCTATCAGAAGAGAATACTTTACATGCTTCCAATTTTAACACCTGCTCATGGGTACTTAGGCACGTAATGCCTTCTATTACACAAAATCATTTACTGTGCAAGTATGCTCAGTGGCATGACTTATTGTACAAAATGAGAGACATGCTGATGTCTTCTTGCAAAACACAAGAATAAAACTTACTATGAGCAAATTAGGCGACTATAGCTGCAATTAGAAATTATTTTTTCTACAAAATTATTGTAATGTAAAATAATGCCCAGGTAAAATCTGAAAACATAAAAATGATGAATTTAAAATTAAATTCATATGTAATTTTTAAATACACTTTACTAAGGTCAATTACCCATATTTTGTGTTTCCTTGTTTTTTTAAGTGTGTCGTAACTATTTGGATCATCATGATACAAGACTTAATATCCTAAGCTGACATGACTAAAAAGTGTCCTGGCAAATCACACAAGAAATGAAATATACTGCTTCTTCATTTTATTTCAATAATAAAGAGATTTAAGGAAACCTCTGTGTGTGTGTGTTGCTTATTATTTTATTGTTATATTCCCAAAGCTTTTAAGAACCTAGCTGCAGTGAACGAAGTGATAAATTCAATAATAGAAAACAGAGGTAAAGACAATACTCTTCCTTATCACTGATTTTAAGCTACCCCTGGACTCAATAATCTAGACAGAAAACTAAAAGCTAGGCTATATCCTGATAGAAACATTACATTTTTGTTTCCTCAGTGACAACTGGTATTTTCCCCTGGTAGCTAAAGAGACAAAGCTACTATTCACCAGTATCCAGTTCTCTTCCACTTCCAGCCACATGGAATGTTGAAAGTCTCCTCTCACCAGAGGTGAGGCGTGTCTTGCTTTGCACAACGAAAGTAAGTGGAAGCGATTTAAGAGACTGCCAGTGCTAAGCTCCCTGGCCTTCTCTTTTGCTGCTGCCATGATGATGTGGAGGTGCCATAAATGCAAAGTATCTTGGAATGCTAGTCCATCGCAGCGGCCTAGCTGCCTAGAATCTTTCCACGCTTATAGCGCATTTTCCATGAACAAGATTTAAACATTTGCCCTATAAGCTACTGCAAATGGGCACTTTGTTATGGCAGCACAACTTTTGTTAGTTAACCTTGCTTTCACATCTACTTTAGCTTTTATGAAAAAATATAAATAATAATAATAATAATAATAAGTTTTCCTTTCCTCCAGTCTCTTCTCAAACCTGTCTCTCTGGCTTATATTTTGATCTCTCACAACTTTGTCTTATTCTAATTTTCTTTCTTCTCACATCCCCGTCCCCCCCACACCCTGACCTTATCCTTCTCAATAGGACTGTATAGGAGCAGTGAAATTGAGGCAGAAAGGATAAATTTGTAATAATAAAATAAATAAAATAAAAAAGGAAGACCAAGTGCAGACAAGGATATAAAAGCAAAGGTTTGCTTTATTTCAAATTTATCACTCTCAAGAGTATCCTGGATTTCTGTCACATTTAAATAGGATAATACTATCCCATTTTGCATATAGCTGTCATATACAGAAAGCATTTTATCCATATTACATTACAGACATCATTGCCTGGGATAAAAAGGTGATGAAAAGAGTGTGAAATTTAGATTCAAAACTTCTATAGTTGAATGCCTGGTCCACATATTACTGATTGTTGACTTTTTGGTATAATTTTCTAATCATTATAGGTTCAGTTTCTTTATATTTTAAATGTAGAAAGTGATACTATGCATTAGATGTAACAACAGTGAGTAAATATATATATACATATATATATTTATTTACTATTATTATTATTATTATTATTATTATTATTATTATTGATGTATCAGGAAAACGTGATTCATGCAGAATAAATCATAAGACCAGATGTGCTAATTCCAACTAGCTTTAAGACTTCTATCTCATTACAGTGTCAGTTTCATGGAGAAGTTTCTATAACTATTGGACTTCTAAGTGACATATGCCTGTTGCATGGCACACAAAACCTCCTCTGTCTCTAGTTGTGCTAATCAACATATGGACCCAGAAATGGGCAAAACCCTAATAGAAATTGTAATGGCTAAAAGCAAGCAACCCCCTAGTGAGAGCCAAGTTTAGGCTATTGTGTGAGCTCAGCCCTACCCGTTTTTTTCAAACACCAGAACATAAGAGACATGTTCTTACCTGCTTAGCATTTCAAGGCTTACTGATCAAGCGATCAAGCAGGTTTCCTTGATTCTGTACTCTACTCTTTCCCAGGTGCCTGATTCAGCTTTACTAACCTTCCTCTACTTTTGCATTCTCTAACCTCTAGGCGTATTATTCATCACAATTTTAGGCCTGGGCATTGCCTTCTCTGTTTTCTAGACACATTAATTCTCTATTTTATCCCTGGGTGTTGATTTTAAATATATGGTCCAACAACGCTGTCATTAGAGAATAAGAATGACTTCATTAAAAACCAATTTTTGACTTTCTTAGTTATGAAATAATTTTGATGATTGAAAGGATATTAACTTTTAGGAGTTTTTTTTTTAATGTGTATTTTATAAACTGTCTCAATTCTTTGGAGTAACAGAAGAATGAACAAATCAACTGCAAAGCATATAAAGTAAAAGAAACTAATAAAATTGTTATTCACTAGCATAATTTTATACCATAGGAGACATTTCTATGAGAAATAGAAAGCACGAACTGCTCTTGTGGTGTTCCATGTTCAGAGAAGGTGGTTAAATTTTTGATTACTCCAACTGTACATTTTCAAAGCCTCAGACTCTCTGAAAGAGACTTTATTATTCTATGACATATGGGCAAGAAGGTACCTAAATATCCTAATTTTTAAAGAAGTTGTATCGATAGCTCAATTTGATTTAATAACCCATTATGGAATTTTATTTCCCTGTGTTTCATGATATTCTTTACAAAATCCACATTTCTCATGCTGCAGATTAATTGCATTTTCTGCTACTAGCCTTACTGTAGAGAGCAAATGGCTGCATATACCCTTTGCATCCTTACTTGGAGATTATTATATATTAAATTGTCTTTTAGACTTGGGTTCTTCAGGCCAAATCACCCCACTTCTTTTTCTCAGAGGTCTGGCTTGCCAAGCTTAATCATCCTTGTGGTAGTTCTCTGAACTGTCCAAGTTTTCCATATCCTTCTTTAGATGAAGTTCCAGTACAGCTCATTGGGGCCTAATGGAAGTTTGGAGTACTCAATGATACATAATTCTTTTCTAAGCTGATTAAGTGTTGTATAAGCATTCTGGTAGAAAAACTAATACGATTCAATTTCAAAATAAATTCTTATAGAGTGATGTCGAGCTTTTGACTACACCAAATGTTGATCCCCAAATTATCTACTAAGAGATGACTCAATACACAAATAAACTGGAAATTTGTCTAAAGAAGGATGAATATGACACTTGGAATGACAAACTCATACTGACCTCATTATTAAGAAAAAACTTGAATGGTGGAAACCAAAGGGAGGTCTGAAAACCTATTATTATTTTCATTGGAAGACTATCGTCGAACTATATTAATGTCAACTTATTCATGAAGACTTTCCGATCCTATATCCTCTCCTTAGACTCTCAAAGCTCTATTTTTCTCTCTGCCATAGTATTTATCACACTGCTTTAGATTTTAGTTTGTGAGTATTTGTCTTCCCCTTCTTTCAACTGCCTTTTGCAGTGCCATAATAGTTACATCATTAAACACAGATTTGATGCATTATAGCTTACCTCAAAAACAACATTCACATTCACATTTGCATATCTTTGCAAATCTGCAATCCAGATTCTTCTTGAAAACACAGCTCAAACATCACTTCCATATGGCCTTCCTTATGCCCCACTTTCCATCCCAAATACAGATTTAGTTTCTCTCTCAACTGTGTTCCTATAACAATTTATACATATTTATATTTTATCAATTATTTGGCTTCAATTTAATTATTTGTCTATCTCTCTTTTCTTTTCAACACTGTGAAATCTTTAGGGAAAATTCCATATCTCCTTTTTAAATACATGCTCTGGGACATAAATATTTAGTAAACTGAATTTTTAAATAGTTTATCTGCACTACTAAACTTAAGTCTCTTGAGGGTAGAATATCAAACATGATTCCCTATAGCATGCTACAAATCTCTATTGCATGGATGCATAAACAGTAAAGCAACGACGTAACATTCACACATGAAACTAAATAAGTCAATATGACAACAGATGTCTTCAGGCTTACCGGTCCATGGCATGTGAGGATGCCATCTTCCATCTTCTCACACTGGGGGTCACACTCTACACAGATGGAGCCATTCGCAAACTCCCGAAATTCACTGTGAAAACATCAGCGGCATGAGGTGGTGTAAGCAAACAAGCTGTCAACTTAACAAATGAAGTAACATCTGCTAAAAGTCCTATTGGCAGAGTAAATTCTAGAGTTTGTTTCTCTATGTGCCAGGAGCATCAGAATCATTTCCCTGTGCATTAAGGAGTAAGTTCTCCATTAGGAGAAAAGATAAACTGCAGCCAGATGGCTCTCCTGTCCTCCATTGGGTTCAACGATAGACTCATTCAGGAAACCTCTCTCTTGTGAGAGATATCGTAGCTGAATGAAAAAAAAAAAAAAAAGTATAACTCTTCTGATGACACAGCAGAACCAAATTTAACTTTTTAAGTAAGGCTGCCCCTGATAGTTTCTGTATAAAAGTGTATTCTTGGCAGAAGCTTTATTTTTTAAACTCTGAAAGAACTACTGTATTTTTTGTGTTGCTAAGTCACATCAATGTTCCCCATCCTTGTCCTTCAAATCCCAAGACTCTTCAATTTATTTTTGGTGAAACTTCAAAAACTGCTTTGATTTATTTTCTTCTTTTAAAATGTCTACCTTGGAGAATTAGAGAAAATATGTTTTTATGGTAGATTTTATTTTCTTAGATGATTGATCTAATATCACATCTTTTTCAGTTTAAATTCTTGTTGAAGTAATCATGTTTTGCATAAAATAATAGTTTCATGGTGACATTCTAAAACTTTCTAATTAAAATCTGGGATGATAGTCATATATTCCCCAACATTATATTTTGTGGCTATTTGAATATTAAATGTTATCAATATATACATTTTCTAATCGACATCTACTCTAAAATTTTCATTTCAATAATTGGGTATCAGTCATGCATAATATGTTTAAACTACCCCATTCTCACCAATGTAGGAGAGGGTGACATACTAGGTAAAGATAATTTAGAATGTCATTTATGAGTCATTAAGAAAAACTTGACTAAATGTTTATAGCTACTTTATTATTTTGTGTCTTTGTATTATGAGATACCACTGCAAACTAATAGCACCACAAATATGGCAATTATGGATTAATTAGGTTTCAATTCAAATTTATTTTTCCCCTCAACTGAAACAATTGCTTTTTCTTTTCATTTTTTTTCCATAGTGAACTATCTAATTTGGTTACTGTAAAGCCTTGGTATATGATAGAAACCCATAAGATGGGCTCTATTTTCTGTTAGTTATATTAAAACTACATGCACTTCAAGGCAAAATAATTAATTTGGTTTTTCAAAATGAATAGAATAAATCAATGGTTTAGTTGTGTATGGATGCAAATATTTAGTTACATGGATTTTACAATTTTAAAGTGAGGTGTTGGTTTGCTATGGATTAAACTTTTTATAAATATTAAGTTTAAAATCTCAATTACATAAAAAATATTTCCTTTTGCATGTTCCATCAACATGTGTGATATAAGCTACTCAACAGAAGAAATCTTTAGAACATAAAGGGAAAAATGACCTAGCATTGGGTTGGGGGAGTAGCTAAATTGTAAAGAGAATCAGAAGCATTACCTATATAATGAAATTCTATGACAGTTACAACAAAGCCTGTGATCTTCAGCAAATAACTAGTTCTGAAAACAGTTTTCTTGGATGACTAAAGGGTTATGGTACTAAATGAAGGTCAAGATTTTTATGAAACCAAAACATATGTCATGCTTTTCTTTCTCTTCTCTAAAACCTCCTTTCCCCCCAACACACCGTTGAGGTAAAGTGAACATGAGATAAAAAAAATAAATAAAAATGAAAATAAAAATAAAAAAATCAGAGACAAGCTAGCTGCCTTTTCTACTGTGGACTAGATTTCCATTTCTGACTCTTTTTTCTCCTCTCAGAAGAGATCCTCCTTGCAGTTTCTATTCTATCTTTATTGCCACTGCCTCCGTCATTTCTCTTCTTCCCTGTCCCCTAGTGATTCTACTGTGATTTTGCCCCAGACCCCCTTTCCCTTGCATCTGACCTAACAAACCACAGTCTATTAAGCGTGAGCTTAGCATGCAGAGTTTTTTATTGCCTGTTTTTTTTTTCTGTTATACACTTCTCACAGATTTGTCCTGTGTGTGCTACCTTAGCCAATGCTGAATCAAAAGCAAATGTGTTAAAAGTCAAGTCCTTCCCAAATTTAAGTCCCAGAACCAATACTAATATTTCCAGGCCTTAAATCCCTTAACTTCTCTCAGCTTCAGTTTCCTAAGTTTCCTCTCTCAAAGGGAAAAATAGTGTTTCAATGAGATGTTGTGATTATTAAATCTAAAAATGCCTCCAGAGAGCTTGAACTGGCATTCATTATGATGTTTCCGTGTTTTGCTAAAGTTTCAGAAGTGTTTAATCTCAGTGCCAAATAAGAAAGAAAAAAAAAAGAATATTCCATGGTAATTAGCCTCCTCTTTCATTTTGATTGGGTATGAATTGTAGTTGAGTTGACAAAATATAGTGACTCAAATGAGCTGCATTTGAGTGTTAACAGCCAGAAATTGACCTATTTCCTTCCAACCCTTTAAAACGTCCTCTATTTAGGATTTCTTCTCCTATGATAATCAAATTCTTTTATATGTATATCAATAGGGACCCTGATTTTGGTATACTCATATGTCATACTGTATTTTTATTAATTTTTGGCAGTTTTTAAGGTGACTGTTCTACCTAACCATTTAGCCAACTCAGGAGAATAGAACACAGAAAGGGAATACTAAGTTTTAATTGTAGGAACTCTAACAAGAATTTATTATCTATTTTCTCATTTGATAACCACAACTATTTTATGAAGCTGACACAATTACTGTTCCTATTTTCATATCAGAAAACGAGTTTACAATGATTAGGGTATTTATCCAAGGTTGGACATTTTAACTAGGAAGGGATGAAGTTAGAGTTTGAATTCATTCTTCCTCAAAAGCTCTTAATCACCAGGAAATGTTGGAAGAAATTATCCAATAACACAAGTTTGGAGGTGGGAGAATCTATCATTGGGCAGACAAGTATTACATCAAACTCTTATAAGATGCTTTCATTTGTAACTTTTCTAAGTAATCCTGTGAGTATGATTTCCTAGGGACCCATTACTATTGCAAAGCACATGAAAAAGTTTATATTTCTTTAATGCATTTGATTTAATGACATGGAAAATGTTAAGCTTTTCAAAACAGTCTGATAATCAATGTAGTTTATTTAGGGAACTGGTATTTTTCCTTTGATAGTTTTCACTGTTTTGCAGAATTGAGACAGAGGATGGTGTACACATCTACATATTTATCAATTTCTTATAAGTTCAAAATTAAAATATTAAAGAAAAACAATGGCATCTGGAAAGGAAAAAAATGATGAATAAGATATCCTGAGTTTTAATGTTGTCTGGGTTCTACAATGTTACGACTTTGGCAAGTATTTAATTCCACGAGTTCTTACTGATTATATGATGATGTTGTAAGATAACATGATTTCTAAAATCTATTACCTCTTTAGAACTGCATATATTCAATAAACTTTTAATGGAATTCACTTAATGGAATTAAAGCCTATTAGTTTCATTGTTGAGGCATCAATTGCCACACTCAAGCAAGCATATTTTGATCTGAGATACTTAGTTTACATACAGAAACTACCATTCTTTCATAATAATAAATAAGTGGGAATACATTCTGATGGGACAAACAGCACATAATTTGCTATCCATTATCAAATTTATGGACCGATTGTACCTAACAAAATTACAAGCTAAAATTTTTCTGAGAAACTATTAAATTCTTACTTAAAATTGTTTTTATACTTAGTTTTCTAATTTTAATCTTGTTCCTCCTAAATTTCATAGACAGAATTGCTTTTGGTCATCTTTCAGAGAAGAGATATACCAGTATCATTATGATCCAGAAATTGTTTTCCTTCTGCTATAAAATGCAAATGTACAATGTTATCTGGGATGATGAAAACAGTTGTTAAAATGGGACTACTTATGAGGCTGAAGGAGAAATGAAATAAAGAAATTCAAAACTATACTTTTACAAAACTGTTGAAAACTCTTTTTGTGAGCAATATATAAAATTGGCTCAGGGACAATACTAAAAAATGTATTATTGCACTAATGAAGGACAACTATGAGGCATGAAATGGCATGTTATGATAAAGTGGTTTTTATGAGTATATGAAATGCCATGCCACAATGTATATACTAGGTTTTATTGTTGGCAATGTGATTATTATGGCATTAGAAAGAATTTAACACACTTGATTTAAAATATTGCTTAGGCTACCTTAGAAAGTGGCAGAACACTTAGAAAAACCTACTCAACTAGAAACTATAAAGATAGTTTTTCTACAGGACTAAGGAATTGTCAGAGATAGAAATGTGTGCCACTCCTAATACACAATAAAATAAGGATGTAACCTAAATGGAAAAAAATACAATAAAATTATGCAGTAACTTCAGATGAAAATTAAAAGGGAAATATAGCAAAAAAGATTATTGGGGCATATACAAGGAAAGATTACATATGAAAATCTACTTCATAAGAAAAAAAAGAATATATTTTTCAATTTTCCTTAAGATAAATTGCTATAATTTCTTCAGAATTATCTATTTTGATACATTCTTTTTTTAAATGTGCATAATAATCAATATATATTTGGACTTGTTATTTAAGATGATTATTTTTTTCTTAAGTCTTCTGTATGTTGTCTCCTTTATGCAACAAGAGCTGTCCTTAAAAATCTTGGCCATTATACACATACTGAAAGTTAAAAATCTTCTTATCATTTTTAAATCTGAACCAAACAGTCCTTCAAAGGTCATGAGGTAAAGGCTACATGTAAGATGCCTTACCCATCGTAGAGGTTACAGGACTCTATGCAGGTCCTTCCCCTGCTGAAGCGACGGCATGACAGGCACTGGTCTGGCCCAGGTCCCCAACAGCCATCGCTGGAACAGAGATGGTTGCACACCATTCCTGCAGCAGCTGAAAAATACACCCAAATCAAGGGGAAATAAACAGAAGCTTGGGTCAAAACTTACAATTTGAATATGAATCTTCCTAAGTACATCTACTTCTGTAGGAGTTTCAAAGAGATTGGTGGCAGACAACTCGGGTTGCCTATCCAGTCACCGTGACCCACCCTGCCCCCCAACTTCTTCCATATTGCAGAGACCGGTCAACTTGTTTATATAGCAACACTGCATTTTTAATAAAACTGAACAAATGTTAACTGTCTATATCAAAAGTCTACAGAGGAGATATGATAGAAATGAACATTCCAATTAAGGCAAGGAATAAAACACATCTTTCTGAAGCCAACCCTTTTCTCCACTAATACATCCAAGTTTTTGGCTTCAATTCCATATGAGAGCTTCACAAAGAAATAGAACAAATGATACTTGTTATAAAACAGACAAAAATGTTAAATGAGAAAGAGAAAGAAGAATATATGGAATGTAATAAGGGGAGAAAGGGATAGAAATAAAACACAAGTTTTACAGGTCTCTGCTCTAGTATAAGTGCACCTTCGTCCTTCGTATTAGCAAAGTGAGCACAAGGAAAGGAAACAATTAGAAAGGATATTAAGCATATTTCAGTGGCTATTCATGAGGAGGCAGATCAAAGCTCTAACAACCGTCTTTAGTCTTAGCTCTTTAGTTTGTTGATGGGAGAAGGGCTAAAGAATTTGAGGGCTGTGTTTTCCAATTATCACTTCATTTTCACCATCTCTGTTCTCCTTTAGATCGAAAAAAACATTTATTCAGTATATTACTATTTATACTGAATAACATAATTTTAGTGAAGGGATACCGGATATTGAGTGATGAAGGCCTATAAAGACAGGAAATGTTATTATGGGTATCTGAAAAGTGATTGGAGGCATGTGAAACACAATAGTAAGCAGTTTTCATGATATATTAAGAATTTGCAAGAAGATAAGAACATTGAAATCCTATTTACCTTCCCATTTGTTACCAACTTCACTTATTATGGGATGCAATATGTATGGCAAGAGCATCTGTGAGGTGGGTTGGGATGACACTGAATATGTGGTTGTACTATAAGCAAGGGATCATATGTGTGAAAATCATCCTTTCTAACATATGCTTGAGAAAGTAAGCTGCCAGCTATTGTGATGACTAGTTTTGTTTTGTTTGTTTTTTTATTGTTTTTATTTTTTTTTATTGGGGAATGGGAACAGCGGTGGGGAATTGGGGGAAGGGGAACAGACAAGTTGCTGTCTTTTTGTTCTTCATTCTAGTTGTGGAGGACGTTGCTTCCCTGGCCCAAGTTGACACCATCATTGCGCTCTTCCTGGGCGAGGCAGATCAGTCGCCGGCCTCTGGACGGCCGCTCACTGCGGCTGCTGGCCACTCACGGTAGCCCATGACAACCCACTGCAGCAGGGGCTGCAGCCTATGCCGTTGCCAGCAACTCACAGCAGCCCAGCTTTCAGGTTGAGCTGTTGTTCAGCATCTTAGCTGTAGAGGGCAGTGTCACTGGCCCTCATATGTGGGATCCGAACCGGGGCCCTCTGGCGTCCCAA